GGAATCCAAAAAAATTTAATTGTGTTGTTCGGATTCGTCTGTACAAATATTGTTCCGGATAGAACTCGATTGTTGGCAGAATTTAGGCTCCTTTGTAATCGTGTACCGTTGGGTCATCAATATTCTTCCTCGAGCGACGCGGAGAACTGAACAGAGGGCCAACAGTAGTTTATGACATACTCGCGAAATACGTCGCTTTCGGTTTGTAGCTGATTGCCGTCAATATCAAGCCAGATGTGACCGTTTCGAGGTCTTTAGAATTCCGCATAGTTCCGAGGTTCGGCGGCCGGCCATGGCATAAATTCGGAAAAACGCACGAGCGCGTTGGGCCTTCCGTGAGTCACCAGGCGACCACCTACCCCTAGTTTCGAGGCCATGGGCGAAGACACCGCGACGGGGATGAGCGTGGGACGAAAGGCGCCCTGATTGGGTCTTGTTCCCAAGATCGGGGCCCAGTTGGCGCACCCCTTGGACGCTAAGGGGTAGAAAATAGAAAGGAGGACGAGGAAGGGGCATCGCGAGGCGTCTTCGGTCGTCAGTTCGCGAGACAAATTACATTCGGAGCGAGACAGTCGTCCAATAAGGGAATTCTCATCCGGATGAGAACACCATGTTGCGAGTCTTCGGATATTTCGATTTGATCTCTCGAATAATAAAGTTTAGTTTCTTGACGTAAATCAAGTGTGTAAATTTCCTTCGACACCCATTTTATCCTGAACAAATATATTATATTTTTTCGTAATTTCAAGAATATAGGAGTTTGTTTTGACATTAATTTTTGCATTTTGAAGACTTTGTAGTACGCTTAAGGAGTCAGAAAATATACAGATGTCGTGACTTTCATTTTGTATGGCAATGTCTAACGCATCATTTAATACGATGGATTCCGCTGTGAAGATAGAAGCACTATCACTAATGCTTCTTGTTATTTGTATATTCAATTTAGGGCATCTACATGCTGATCCAACATATCTATTACCTGGAATTTTACTTCCATCCGTGTATATCGTATATGCATTGTTTGCAGAGAGCATTGTTTTCAACATTAAATTTGAGTTTTCAGCTTTTTTAAGAGTTCAGCATAGTTCGATATCAATTGGGATTGATGTCATTATAGTTTTATATTCATGGCAATGATATTGTATTGATTTCTTGCTTCTATAGACTTAAAAGAATTTGCAAAAGTTTCAATACATTGTTTTAGTATTCGATTTCTTTTGTTCTTCACTTTTATGCATTTTTTGTAGTAATTATGTACTGTTTTATTGGCGGGAGAATTTGCGTTTGACAATACCTTACTTAGGTAGCACTTACACAAAAACTTTGTTCGCTCCTGAATGAATGGTAATTTAGATTCTGCTAGCAGAATATTGGTTGGAGTGCTGATTCTGTAACCTAAAGCTGCTCTTACCGCTGCATACTGTATTTTTTCTATATATAATAGAACGAACAAAACTTTTATACAAGATAATCAATGTTTCAGGATGAGAACCCCAACACGTGCCACATAAAAATTTTACAATGTTTAGTGCTTTCATGCATCTCTTTTGTATTTTATTTATTTGTGGAGTAAATGTCATTTTGTAATCGTATAAAATACCTAGGAATCGAGCAGTGTAACTAGACTTTGCAATAAATTCATCGATTTTGATTTGTATTTGTCCTGGCAGAATGCTTTTGTTATTAAAGTGAATTAACACGGTCTTCTGGGGTGAGAGTTCGAGACCTAATTCTTGTAAATTTTACTTAATTATATTTACAGATTTTTCAATTATGTTTCTACATTTCTTTAGGGGTGACATTTTCGAATAAACTGCAATGTCGTCCGCAAATTGTGAAATGACAACACTTTTGGGCAAATTATTCGAAATTTTTGTTACATAAATTATATATACATAGTTGCGGACTGAGAACACCCCCTTGGGGGACTCCTTTACAAACTGTTCTATATTTGTCCTTCAAAACATCAGTATAAATATATCTTTCATGGGTTAAAAACTTTACAAATCTTATTATCTTATTCGAGCATCCCATCTCTGCCAGTTTATCTAATAACATGTCACTATTTACATTATCAAAGGCTCCACTGACATCTAAGAAGGCGGCTATTAAGTCTTTTTTATGTAACATGGCTTCATTTATTTGTAACGTCAAATTTACTAAATTATCAGTGCATGATCTGCTCTTTCTAAAACCGGATTGATTATTAGGAATCAAGTTGTTATATTCTATCCACCACTGTAGTCTGTTTTTTATGAGGGTTTCTACGAGCTTGCATAAGCACGAAGAAAGCGTGATTGGTCGTACACTTTTTCCATCAGTTTTGTTTATGAAATGTATAAAGCTTGCAAAAAGAAAAGCTTGCTTCCAGCTAGATGGATAATCCATAAGGCCATACATCTCATTATATATATATATCTAATAGTAACAATTTAAATCTTGTTGACATTTTTTTGTAAAATTTCATAACCAATTCCGTCCATTCCCGGGGTGACTTACTATTTGTTGAGTTTAGAGCTATGTTAAATCCTGTAAAATCAAAATACATACCAAAAAAATGATTTCTATGACATTTGGGGAACCAATTCGGATCTGTACCGACCCAAGGTGGACTTATTTTGTTTAAGGTTACTTGTATTTTATTTTCTATTTGACCATTTTCTGATATGTGAGAAGGATTAACTTTGGCCCATTTATTTTTAAAATTTTTACACTTATTCCAGATATATTTAGCATCAATTCGATAATTTATGCTCTTTCCAAACTCCTTGAAGCACTCTTTTTTCTTCTGCTTAATCTTTTTCCTCGCTGTAGCACACATTTTTTTATATGCTATTAAATCACACAGATTTTTGGTATGTTTCCATTTTTTATAGGAGGCACGCCTGAGTCGCTTAATTTTATTGCATTCGGTATCCCACCAAGGAACCGCATTGCTGGTCTTATTTTTGTCCAGGATTTTCTTAACGGGAGTACATAATTTTATTGTTTCGAGTATAATTTTGTAGAAGAATTCGTATTTTTTACTAGGTGGGAGATGACCATACTCAACTGAAAGGAATTGCGTATATTTTCCATTTAGGTCTCTAACAAATCGTTCCCAATTTGTACGGATTGACTTTAATCTAAATGTCTTCCTCTTATAAAGACTTTTTGTAACATTAACATTAAAAAAAATAGGATAATGATCCGACCCCCACGTTTCGTCACACACTTCTATGTTCATTTTATCAGCTATATTCATAGAAGAAAGAACTAGATCTATGTTTGATTTCGTGTTTTTGTATGTGTCTATATGCGTAACTGAATTATCATTATGTAAGAATAAATTATAATTATCGATACTAATCCAAAATCATTCACCATTTTTATCAGTGTGCTTACAATTCTATATTTTACTATGTGAATTAAAATCTCCTACTAGTATACTGTGTTGATTGACATCTACGTTTTCAACAATTACATTCCACTGAGTTTGCGTTAGAATGCAACCCGGAACTCTATAGCAAACGACTATATCTAGAGAAGGTTCTACATTCATAATTTGTATTCCACATATTTCAATAGATGGATCCGGAGACTTAATTCTACTTAATTCTAGATACGCTAAATTTTGACAGATTAATATAAGTATAGCTCCTCGATTCTCCCACGAGCCGTCATCGAAGTAAGACGTATTAGCTTGTGCTCGCGAGTTTAATCACAATAAGTGTCGATATAACTGCAAATCGGTTACACAGTGTAGTAGATTAATAGTTCTTTAGTACCGACTCAGTGTCTAGTTGTTAAAGGGCCGTGACCACAGGTGTCTTTAACTACGAAGACAGCCGTGGTTTTTTTTGTCTACGAAATTGTCTACCATCTCCTTTGAACTTAAATATATACACACTCTCCCGTGCGATATTCGAGACACGTACCGAACGTTATTCGATTGAACCAAATCACCTATTGCAACTGCGTAATCCTGTACAGTGATACCTTCAATTGTATCCAATACTATGGCTTGATCCTTTGTGGGATATTGTACTTGCTGAATCATTTTTGCGTATGACATTGTGGGAGTGGTTTTTGCCAACGCTATAGCCATTAAAAAAAAAAAAAAAAAATTAATAATGAAGCGGTGTTTACTGATGTATTGTATATGACTTACCTTGTATTTTCTTTCTCTTATGAAATTTTTCTCGTGATCTTCTCAGAATTTCCTTGTCCCTCTAAAGCTGTACGTAGCAAATAAAATTTTTATTTCGAACATTTAAGATAATATTACAAAAATATTTGGCTTCATATTTCCTGGGCTGATGTACAGGAACATAATTGAGATAAAAATTTGAAATTTTTGGGGCACATTCCTATTATTGTAAGTAATAACTCTGTCAAATTTCAAATCATTTCATCGATTTTTATCGGAGTTATAAACAAAAATGTAACCAATTGAAAAAAATTGCATGTATTTTCCAATTAAAACTTTCGAAAGTTTCTGCCATGTATTAATGTTAAAAGTAAAAGTTCAAATATTCCAGACATTTTTTTTATATGTTTGCAAAGTATTTAGAGGGTGCATAATATAGATTTAAACAATCATTGAAATAAGGATCACCCTAGTGTACATATGTATGTATGTTACTAGTCAATTTATGCAAAATAATCAATATATGTACCAGCATTATTACGTTAACAATGCATGACTAATTCTATTTTATAATTATATTCTGTTTTTGTTTGAATGTTAGTAATGACGAATTAAAACAATAAAATTGCCCGCACATCTGTTGATTTCGCTTGGAAATTTCCTTGTCTTTCTACGCTAAAAAATAACAGGAATACAAGCGTATGGAATGAGTTGTCTAGTAAATATATAATATATATTATATTTTCATAATATATCGGTACATGTACATCCACCTTCCTATACGATACAATAACATCCATTGTTGTATTTGAAATGTATAATTAGTATGCGTAGACGTAGGGTAAGTACGTTTAAAATTCAATAGGAGAAATTTTCATTTTTTTCGTTTCCCGAGCACACATGTGTCTTGCGGCTCACGGTTCGGAAATTAACGTCACAATTTCAATTATTCTACGTTATCGGATCATGACCATCCCCGACAGTGATTAAGTAGGAATACTCTGTCGTCTGATTGAAAAAAGTGGCTAGAAAGAACACCAATCAGAGGACGGTGTATTCGGCAAATTTTACCGTTAACCATTTCTCCAAGAAATTATACAGCGTTTAATTACGATTTTCACCATCGGAAAAGATCATGTACCAAAACACCAGAGAATCGAGACTGACCGAAAATTTTCATCGTTTAATATCTACGTATTTTGCACGCTTCTTTTATACAATTTATTTTCATTCATCTTCGTGTACATCGACCAATTACGGACACGATTTACAGACCAAATACAGTCTCGTCGAATAACTTAAAATAGGAACTCAACGGAAACCAATTCCGCTTGCATTATATATATTAATAAAAACGTTAGTGTATAAATAATTACTAACTAACCGAATATAGCCGTGTAACCGAGTAAATTTGTACTTATAGAATGGAGACGTGTGTCAATTTAAATTACTCGTGTCGCTGCGTAAAGTACTTAAAATATAATTCACACTCGCGTTACATCGTTCTTTCGAGTCTACGATTCTTAGGTCGAAGATTTTTAGTTTCCGTAAGTCTTATCGCGATTCCCTTCCAAACACGTAGTCGCGTTTGTTTCTACATAGAAAAGAAAGAAGATCAATGGAACGTCAAAGAAGACGATGGAAACCTGGTTCACCTTTATTCCTTTGTGCTTCAATGGGGTTTCTTTATTCACAACAGATTGCGGAAGGCCTCAAAGTACAGATTAACTCGTAGAAACCGGAAGAAAAAGGGCGGAAACGACGGTACATATTGGACGTTTTGAAAAACAAGAAGATGGAAGGAAGAGAAATATTGATAAACAAAGGATCGTTATTCGAATATTGCACGCGAGGGAGCTACATATATACGATAGAATTGAGAGGAGAAAATAGAGGACAAATGTTGAACATCGTTGATATAATAAATGTCATAATTGAAACAACCGTGCAGAGAAAATGTCGAGACGATCTCAAAATTTATCAATGGACAAGTACACCCTCTCCAAACACGCGTTTCGAGGTTTGCTGTTGACAACCATTTTGATTCGTTCTTTCTGGAATTTTATTTTTGTTCTTCTTTGTGTGAACTCGAGTAGGCTGTTAGTTGGATATAATTTTGATTTGTAACGGATTGGTAGAGCTAAAAGGAAAGCACTCGACGATCATCCTGAAGCGCTTTTAACAAAAATGTCGTAGGATGATGAAAGCTGAAACCTCGAACGAATGAAAATAAAATGAAATCATATGAATTGTGCATCAGAGTATGTACGTAGCGTGGAAGATACTTCTTAGCCCCATTTCTGGAAGAAACCTACTCGCTGGCATTGGCAATTGGTGCCCCAGAGGTTGCATCTGCAGCTGGAACTGTTGCAGCAGTCCTTCGGTCGGTGGTCGCAATTTCCTCCCCGTTTTACGCAGGCCCGCCTAAACAGGTAGATCAACGAGGTACGTCTACTCGAGATTAGGGGAATCTAAACAATGCCTTGCAGAGACATCGAGGCATCGACACGGGGATAAGGAAAGAGATAACAGTAATGTCTTGATAAGTGAAACGATTTTTCCTCGAATAAGCGACGTACCCTCAACAAGTTTAATTTACTCCTAAAGAATAAATACACTTACTCAATGAAATATAATTGATTATTTACCAATTTTTATGTATAAATAAGAATGATAAATTTTCTTTCGAGTTCAAAGTCACATCAAACGAGGACAATGTTTGTATTTACAAAAATATTAAGAATTTTGAAACTAATAAATTTGCAAATCGAAAAATGGCTTATATCTAGCAATTCAAACGTTGTAATAAATAATTATTTGTTAATACAAAATATAAATAATTATTTGTTAATACAAAATATAAATAATTATTTGTTAATACAAAATATAAATAATTATTTGTTAATACAAAATATAAATATTTTCATTCTTATTATTGTATTGATAATACAGAGATTGAGCTGTTTTACTCTTGGAAGAATTCAAGGCACACAGGGTGATCCACTAGAAACAGAATACTTTGATATCTTTGCTATTTTAGTAATAGAATATATGTATATTAGTTTGTCTGGAAAGTCCGTGCCGATTTTTGGTAGTTGGTACACGTCTGTTTATATTGGAATGGTTGAAAACAATTAACATGGGTGCATCCCTTATAAAGGTGGAAAGGTCGTGGAATAAAATGCTATTTATATAATTCAATAAATATATATCAAAATTCAAATGTGCCTTTGAATTTTTTTTTAAAAATTGGTACGAACTTTCTAGACAACCCAATAATAGAAAAAATAAAGTAAAATTGTTTCCATACTAAGTTTAGTATTTACTTAATCTTCTTCATCAGTTCGGAGAATGAAAATATTAACTTATCGCGGTTCTTGTAGATCACGCTGTTGTATATGTACTTGGTGTCCGAAAAAAAATTCAAAAATTCACATAAAAAAATGTATCCATAGAAAAATTTTTGTCTTGCGATTTTCGAGTTTAGTACGCCAAAATACATAAGAAAAAAATTGTGGCATTGAATATACATTTTGGCTGTAAACTAGTGTAATTAGAAAGAAACAAAAATCCTATGCGTTACGGCCCGTGCAATAGGCTGAAAGAGAATGAGACAATGTATGTCAGACACACTACGCGTATCGTTACAACTATGCATATGACAGGGCGGCAATCATTTCAACAATTTTGTAATTGATATCATAAAATATTCCTTAAAAGTATCCTGTTTATTATTTCTTAAATGATATCTAGACATTGTTTATAAACACGTGCAGTGCGTCGCTCGATGGATTCTAACCAGAGGTGGGTAATATTTGTAAAGAAAATACTTTAAATACTATTTGAAATAATAGATTCTTCAGAATTCAAATAAAATAGCATTTCAAATGAGACATAAAATTTCGGCAAATAAAGTATTTTATTTTAATAAGATAAAACTTAAAATAAAATAATTAATTTTGGTAATCTATAAATAAAGAATCAAAATAAATATTTAATTTTGATAATCTAACACATCAAATAAAATATGTTTCATTTTAATAACATAAAGCATAAAATTCAATACTTTCCATCACTCATTTCATGAAGATTCTTATTGATAATTCTTAATAGAAGTATTCATTGCAGAACTACATTGAATGTATATTGATAATGCAGAGGAAAAGTACGTCGTCCGTTTTAAATTACCAAAATAAATATACTTTACACTATAATTTAGTGAAATAAAAATATTTTATTTGCTGATAATAAATTAAATAAATAAAATATTTCGAACTATGGCACAAATATTTTCAGTGTTTTTCAAATAAAATATTAGTTGAAATATTATATTAAACATTTTTTATAACAAATAAAATATTTTATTTTAAAAAATACTTGCATGATCTGAAATAAAATATTTATTTACTGTTTATTATTTAAAATACGTATTTTACCCAGCTCTGATCGTAACTTAGTTGTAAATAAGTAAAAAGAAACAAAACTGGCAATACGAAACGAACTAAATGTCACGTGAAGGTCAACATAGTGAACCTCGATGGAAGGTCAATTTCTGGAACGAAACCATTAGTTACTTTCTCCGTTTCATTTATCTACAAGTCCTTCGTTTCATTTATCCAGAAAATACTGTACTGTCTCCCTATGGGAAAAGGAACAGCTACACTTCTCAAATCAAGAAACGTACAAATTTCTTAATTCGGAACACGCAACAAATAGCAACAACAAATTATCTATGAAGTTTACATCTTTGAAGGCATATTTATTGCAATGGGTTGTAATTTCTTAGAGAAGTATCGAGTTGAAAAATTATTTTACTACATGTATGATCATTCATCAAATTATTAGAAACACCGAAAAAAAGGAAATTGTTCTGTTTTAAAATAATATAAGATCCATTCACATGTTTTTAAAACCTTGTGTTTTCTTCAATATCGTGAACAATTTTTATATTTCGAAGTTTATTCTTGTATTTCAAAAACATGTAAATTATTTTCATCGATATTGACGAAATTTGCATTGACTAACCTTAACATTGAATGATTTGACTCTCTCTAGTATCATCAATGTCTCTTTCACCATGTCAAACGTATTAAATAAGTCATCACTTGTTTTTTTTAAATTCATTATGGAAACACGACATTAATTCGCATAAGATTAATTTTCTAAACCAACAACATGCGTAGATACGTATTACAGAATAAGAACTTAGAAATTAGAAGTAATTGGAAATTATTACAAAGGAAGGGAGTAACACATTGCATTAGAAAGAAACGAAATGTAGTAACTAATACTCACTTTTCTTGAGCTGCTCGTATCAAATTATCCAATGCGTTGTCTGCATAATCGGAGTCTGCAACCTGCAATGCGTCGTCGTCTGCAATGCAGAAATACATATTATACATCAATATCATTAAATTATAATAATTCATACTAAATTATTCGCATTCGTTAAATGAATCCTAATTTTAATCGAACAAATTAAGTTTGGGTTTCCATCAAGACTTGCTTCTCGACCTTCTAACCTTACTTCTATAATTTTTAATATATTGTTATTTTTTCAAATTATTCATACGTAGCGAAGAATAAACAAAAATGGAACACAATTCATTACTTCATCTGATAGTTGCTGTATTGAGATTCAATAGTGTATCACAACTAGAGCATTGTTAGAAAAGCGAAGCAGAGCTAATTACAATTATTTTAATAGTGAACCGAACTACAAAATCGTAATATAGAGAACAATTCAGTCCATCGTACATTCCATAAAATTTTAATAAAAATCGTGTATGTTGTTCGTGTAACAAAGAAATTTTTTTGATCGAGCATAGAGTGATCATCATGCGGTGTCTGAAACGACAGCTTGTGCTTCATAAGAGAGATAAACAAAAACAGAAAACCCTTTTATTGGATACCTGTAATTAGCAACAGCATAGACTAGCACTACACTACACTACTTTTATTACTTGTAGTTTTTTATGGGGATCTCCTATTCTTTTTTTGTAATTTATTTGATAGTACTCCTTTTCGTCTTCGACTTTTTTGAAATTTTCTATAAGTCCTATTTCTTCGGAATAATGACATCCAGCTAAAAATTACTACAGCACGCTTTACCGGAATGTAAAGCGGATTACTCGCGACTCGGATTCACTTAAGAAGATACTATATCCTCGAGGTCAGAGGAATCGTGTTCTTACGATTCACGTCGGTATCTCGTTCATTTCGTCTACCAGTAGTCGCTTGGTTACCTTATTCGCAAAAAGATTGTATCACATTATTTAACGTAATGTTGATTGCTTTTCTTAGATTAAAATTAATATCTACAGTTTAATTTGTTTTAGCATTTATATTTATTTTGTAATAAACATTTGCCAGAATTAGGTCAATTAAGATTGCTTAACTTAAAATTAATATACACACTCCAATTTTCGTTTAAGTTTATAATTATTGATAATTATTTAAAATGTTAGCGACCGGTAGATACATTGATTTTTCGGAGACATTTGATCTGCCGTTGTTTCGGTCAATGAGCGGTTCTCGAAAGGTGGAGACAGCTGAGCGGGCCGAGTGGCGACAAATTATCGGTGGCTCCAAAACGAATATCCAATGACCGATACGTTACCATCGGTAACGCATGAATGGGGCAAGCAACCTGACGTTGCATTGCTATGATTGGTGATATATGCCATATTATATTAAACATTAGAATAAATGTTCTAGAAAGATCTGGCCACGGAGTGGGGAAGGCTCTGCCTTCTGGAAAGAGGACCGTGTTGAAACACACGGCACTTACCCCAGAACTTTTGAACAAAACGAACATATATTTCTTGCTCAAATAATTTAAAACTAATATTTCTAACAAATATATGTTAATTATAAGAAGAATAAACAGAAGGATACTTTGCAGACGATAAATGATTTTTAAAATCATTTATATGAAAATAAAATAAAATAAAGTAAAATAAAGTAAAGTAAGGTAAAGTAAGGTAAAGTAAGGTAAAGTAAGGTAAAGTAAGGTAAGGTAAGGTAAGGTAAAGTAAGGTAAAGTAAAGTAAAGTAAAGTAAAGTAAAGTAAAGTAAAGTAAAGTAAAGTAAAGTAAAGTAAAGTAAAGTAAAGTAAAAATAATTTATAATTAAATATTATTCAAATTTAGATAAGACATCATCTTTTTTAACTTGGACATAATACAAGTTTTTTAATTTTCAATATTTGATCTTAAATTTTATTTTTGTGTTTCTCTTTTCTTTCGTATTCGAATTTACATTCTGCATACAGTTAATATTTAATTATTTCAGTACGTTGTGCCGGAAAATATTACATAGTTTTAGTTATTTTACCTCCTGTTACAATATTTATATTTGATAGTATATTACACTGTACAAAAGAATCCATGGAAGTCTTTTTAATATACTTTAAACAAAAACAACAATGCCATAAAAGCAATATTATGAAAATAGTAAAACCCGTTGAAATTATAGCTCGACGAACCACTTTTCATTCTCTACTATCTCATATTCATTGAAACCGAAAGAAACAAAGAGCAATAAACTGTTCATTTGTCTGTTAATATTCACCGTAACTAAAGTTTCGTAGTTCGTCATGTTCGTTTTATGATCTTTCAGCTATCTTTCAATATTCCAAGAAACAAACTGAGAGTCAACTGCTTGAACAAGCCAAATATAAAGGCTCTAAATTTTTCCATCATTTCAATAACAGGATGTCCTGAAAAATATAGTAATTGCAGCTATAGAATTATCGTTTTCGTAATAGTGAGTCAAGAATGTACAATACAATTTCGTTTAACCATTCCTTGTTTCTTAAACAAAATGGTTCTGAAAATTTTTTGAATGCGCATGTGCCTACGACAATTGAATATCCCGTCTCACTATTCCACATTAATTCTACTTATGTTACTTTATCATGTTGTGATTACACTATTTTCTACATAATATTAGCAATTTAAAATAGATAACATCACGCAAATATTAATATTACGCTGATATAAACAACGGCAGATCAGCTGTCTCCGAAAAATCAATATATCGACCGGTCGCTAACATATTATAATTATCAATAATTATAAACTTAAACGAAAATTGGAGTGTGTATATTAATTTTTATTACGCTGTTAAACCCTAAATTGGATTATCACCAATATGCACATGTTTATGCATATTAACGCTAGAACTATATTGGCTTTATAAACATTATCTTATATAATATACAGTGTACTTAGAATCTAAATAACGGTTGCAAATATACTTCGTGTCTTTTCAGAAACTTAAAGATTATCATTAGCGGAGAAATGTTAGGTTTGTACAGAAATATGTCTATCGAGTACGGTGGGAAGAAGCCTTTGTCACATAATTTCTTAATCATTTATGTTCTACCGAGATCGAGTAGTGGACATTGCCATATGACATGGTTCAAGTCTTGTTCAGGGTAGTCACATAGACACTTAGGACTGGAAGCAAGATTAACTTTATATAAGGAGGAGGCTAGCTGTACATGGTTAGCTCGCATTCTGTTGACTGAGGTCACAAATTCCCTAGGAAGACGTTTACAGACAAACCAAGGAGTTTCTTATTGAAATGATGGAAAAATTTAGAGCCTTTATATTTGGCTTGTTCAAGCAGTTGACTCTCAGTTTGTTTCTTGGAATATTCCCGAAAGCTATAAGGAAAATCGGCGTAGGGAACCAGGATTTCAGGCGATGCTTCAAGGTGTAAAGCTTCTTTTGCCAAGCTGTCCACATGTTCATTGAAACAGATACCAGTGTGAGCCGGAATCCAAAAAAGAAAAAACCTGGTAACGCTGCAAGAACTTTCAACAATAAGTTTCTTAATATCTATAAGAATGGGGTTAAGTTTGGTGCTTAAAGAACTCATAGTGAGCATACATAGAGCACTTAGACAATCGGAATAAATGTAAACATTCTCATAGGAGAGTTCCGAAGCGTGCTTCAAGGCGCACTTGATTGCAATACATTCTGCAGAGAACGTAGAAAAATGCTTGTTTAGGCCTACCAGAGACGATACATTTAGTTCCGGAGAGAAGAAAGCTGCACCAATCTCCTCTGTTTGATGATTGCGGCTTCTATCAGTAAAGAAGGAGATTGAACCTGGGGGTCTACTGTCATAGTGCCTTAGGAAACTAAGATTGGAATGAGAGGAATTTTTGATTGAGTATCCGAGTTTAGTGTCACTGTAGAGCAAAGAATATGATAGTCATGTAGAAAGAAGGAAAGTTGCACCCTGTGCTTAGAGCGGTTATTTCAGGAAGAAGAGGATTGATTAGAGTAGGTAGCATAGCACGGGAGTGTTGTAACAAGTCATTCCAATGATAAGCTGTAGAAAGTTTCGTTATTAAGTTAAATAGGTCTGAACCAGTAATGGAGAGTTTCTTAAGAAGAAACTTTTTGCCTAGCAGGGTAGCCCTGTCATGTAAGAACCAAGTTTTGGATTCGGCCAGAAGAATGTTAGTGGGAGTAGAAATTCGATATCCTAAGGCAGTACGCAGAGCAGCAAATTGAATTCTCTCGATTCTAAGGAGAAGGGAATCGGATTTGGATTTAGAGAAGTAAATAAAACAATTATATTCTATAATGGAACGTATTAAACACTTGTAAAGGCTCAGTATGCTCTTTAATGTTTAATTGGTAATCGAAGGTAATACCAAGAAATTTTACACTTGGACTGGATGGAATAATACAATTTTCAACATTAATGACGCAGGAACCAGGTAATATCCCCTTTTTGTTGAAATGAACTAGAACAGTCTTATCGGGAGATAGGGATACACCCAGTGAGCTTAGTTTATCGCTAATCTGAGAGATAGCCATTTCCATGGACTTTTTGGCTAAGAGAGGAATAGAAGCACGGATAATGAGAGCAATATCGTCAGCATACTGCGTTATGAGAGTATTGCTAATCAGCCCTTTCGCGATACTTGTAACATAAATTATATACAGTAAGGGACTAAGCACTCCTCCCTAAGGTACACCCTTAAAAACTTTTCTTGTGATAGAACAGGCAGAATCTAGGACAAAGGTGACATCACGTTCGAAAGTCAGGAAGGTAACAAATTTCGCGATGTTGCCGGGGCAGCCTAGTTTGATAAGTTCTTGAATCAGGATGTCGGGTAGAACATTGTCAAATGCACTTTTAACATCCAAAATTGTGGAAGGCTTCTTCAATTGTTACAGTGAGTAGAGCAAGATTGTCTGAGCAGGACTTGCCAGTTTTAAACCCGTATTGTGAGGGAGGAACAAATTTATAGATTCCAGCCACCATTGAAATCTCGACTTAATCATCTTTTCCATAATCTTGCAAAGACATGATGTAAGCGAAATGGGTCTAACGCCACCGCAATCTCGC